GAGCCGACGCTAGGAACTCGAGACTGACGTCGCGACAGAATGGGGCCGTCCCCCCGAGGGAACCGGTCCCTTTCTAATTGAATCGTTTGTGTTATGTTTGTATGGCCATGTATGTGTACGTGCATGTGCGTTGTCCGTCAAATAGTTTTATATATGTATACGTATCGTGCACGACAATTAGACGCATAACATCCTCCCCCCGTTGAGAGGAATCGATCAACTGTATATGATTGTATGCATACGAAATCGCTTATGTGTATAAAATCGCATTGTGACAAGATTGCGCATCAATCAGATGAACACTGATTGTATATCCATGTATGGTTTGTTAGTTTGACGTGTATCTTAGTGCTAATTCGCTTTTTGTACTGTGTATCGCACGACGGTCGTTTAATATATCGCAACATGATGACTCAATCGGTAGTAGACATAAATATTTCGCTGCCCTTTATATCTCTCCGCTTGTTGTTTTGACTGCGACGGCTCGTACTATACCGTCGTCACCCGGATGTATCCTTGTTATCCTTCCGAGTGCCCATTGATTGCATGGTAAGTTCCTTTCCTTTATGAGCACCACGGACCCGACAGTGAGCTTGGGACCGTCCTTGACCCATTTGCTGCGTGTTTGGAGCTCGTTGAGATACTCTAGGTTCCAGCGTTTCCAGAAATCCTGCCGTACCTTGGAAATGTGTTGCCAAGTGGACAACCGGTTGGCTGGAACATTTGTTATATTGCCCTCCGGGAGGGTCGTTAGTGGTTTGCCAATCATATAATGAGCGGGCGATAAAACGAATAAGTCGTTCGGATCGGATGAAAGAGACGTAATTGGCCTTGAATTCAGAATGCCTTCAACTTCAATCGCGAATGTGTTCAATTCCTCAAACGTGAACAACGAATCTCCCACTACACGCTTAAAATGATGTTTGAATAGCTTGACCATGGATTCCCATAGCCCTCCGAAATGCGGCGCCGCGGGTGGTATGAAGTGCCATGTAATACGATGGTCGCGGGCGAATTTATTCACGAACTCTTGGTGTTTATCGGAATTGAATAGAGTGTACATCTCTCTCAATTGATTGTTCGCGCCTACAAAGTTGGTACCATTGTCCGAGTAAATATGTTCAGGCATCCCCCGTCTCGCGATGAACCGTCGCAACGCTGCTAGAAATCCATCGGACGTTAAGTCGCTAACGACTTCGAGATGCACCGCCTTGATAGTCATACACACGAATACGCATATGTAGACTTTGATTCGAGCCCTATTGCGGTGTTTCTTCTCTTTGATGTGAAATGGGCCGCAGAAATCGACACCGGTGATGCCAAACGGTATTGTTTCTCGTACGCGAGCCGGCGGGAGGTTACCCATTTTATATTCAACGTTGCTAGCGTTAAAGCGAAAACATCGCACGCAGGAATGTACAATTTTCCGCACCTGATTCTGACCGTCGGTCAACCAATATTTTTGTCGAAGGTGATAGAGCGTCGAAATAATACGGTCGGTTAAACCATGTCGACTTGGCAATAGAATAGGATGCATTCTTGAAAATGTTACACCCGAATTTTGGAGACGCCCTCCGACACGAATTAAACCGCGGTCGTCTATGAACGGACTCAAATTGGCTAATTTGTTCTTAACCGTAGAATCTTTGTCTCGCAGGATTTTAATTTCGGCAGCAAATCGAGCGTTCTGAACAATTTTTAATATCCGTCCTTCAGCCTCGTCTATTTCCTCTGTGCATAATGACCCTTTGCGCGTGTTGATCGGACGAAGGCGCAGACAATATGCCACGACTCTTAAGAGCTTAGAATACGAGGAAAATCTGTCAATTATTTCAGACTCATTAGATACTAACAAGCAAACGTTCCTTTTCAGCTCAAGGACTTCATTCCCTAGCGGTTCGATTCTTTCGCTAACTTGAACGAACTCGTCAGGCCACTCGTTCTCGCCTTCGCCCAACCAAGCTGGTCCGGTGAACCAAGTTCGATTTCGCAAAAACGCGTGTGGTAATTGGCCTCTCGATATCGCGTCAGCGGGGTTGTCTTGCGATCTGACATGTCGCCATTTAATTGAGCTGGTGAGTTCTTGTATTTCCGCGACGCGATTTGCCACGAAAATGTTGAGTAAATAGGGTGGCGTCTTTAACCAATGCAATACGACTGTGGAGTCGCTCCAGAAAATTATCCTGTTAGCCCTGATACTCAACACGCCGTCCACTTCGCGATATAAGCGAGCCAACAGCAACGCGCCGCAAAGCTCGAGACGCGGGATAGTTATATTCTTTAACGGTGCTATCCGAGACTTAGCGCATAATAATCTAACTGTATTCCGATTCTTCCCTGTGGAACGCACGTAAATGCATGCATCGTATCCGCTACTACTGGCGTCGCAAAAACCGTGGAATTGAACGTCTCCGTAATCGTCACTTAATAATTTCTGATTAAATGAGATTTGATCTATCGTTTCGAGCTGCTGGACGAATTCTAGCCACGTTGTATGTATGTTTTGTGGAACGGATTCATCCCAATCAAGCTGACATCGCCACACGTCTTGCATTAGTTTTTTGGCGTAAAAAACAATAGGGCCTAACAGTCCTAACGGATCGTAAATCTTCGCGATTTCCGACAGTACACGTCGTTTCGTTAACTGCCTTGTAATTTCAATAGATCGAACGGAATAGCGTATCTCATCATTTCGCGCACACCACGTCACGCCGAGAGTTTTTAAGGAGCGATCTCCATCGAACGTGAATCCCACGTGTAACGCGCCAGTCGCAAGATCATTGATGACACGCTCCTCGTTGGAAGCCCACTGCCTAATAGTAAAACCACCCCGGGTGAGCAGCACGATCACTTCATCACGAATCGCTCGAGCTTCGTCGATAGTGTCAGCCCCGGTTATTAAGTCGTCCACATAAAAATGCTCTTTAACGGCCTTAGCTGCCCTGGGATACGCCGGGCCCTCATCATCAGCCAATTTGTGCAACGTTCGGATCGCGAGGAATGGTGACGATGACACGCCGAAAGTAAGTGTATTGAATCGAAATGTCGCGATTTTATTGTTTTTGCGCCACAAGATTTGCTGATATCGCCTGTCATCTTTATGCAATTGTATTTGTAAATACATTTTCTCTATATCCGCCGTAATTACGCAATTGTAGGTCCGAAATCGAATTAGGTGGTCAAATAGTTTGTTTTGGATTGTAGGCCCGACTAATAGCATATCGTTTAGAGACATGCCACTATTAGCCTTCGCAGACGCGTCGAAAACTATTCGCACCTTCGTTGTGTTGCTCGACTCTTTCGTTATCGCGTGATGAGGCATATAGTACCCGTGATCGTCAGGATTCTTTACCTCGGACAAGTAATTCAATTTTAAATATTCTTCAATTATTCGAGTATATTCTGCCTTTAACGTTGGATTCACGTGAAATTTTCGTTCTAACGCGGTTAGACGTTTAAGTGCGGCGGCTCGTGATTCTCCGAGATGATCCTTGTTTTCGCGGAACGGCAAGCGAACTATGCAACGTCCGGAATCGTCACGAGAAACGGTCTGTGTAAAGTGTGTTTCGCACACGTCTCCCTCCCCGAATTTTGGGGCGTAATTTCCTCGATCGTCCAGAATTTATTCAATTGCGATTCTAAATCCGTTATGTAGCATATCTCGGGTTTTGCCGGAATTTGTGAGGACGAGCCGCCAACGACCACCCAGCCCAAGCGCGTTTTCTGCATGTACAAGTCGTACCCGGCGCGAGATAGATTCAGTTGCCCGATGGAGAGTAACGCCACTGTCACGCCGGATCCGATCAGCAGATCCACAGGCTGCGTCAAATGAAAGTTCGGATCTGCTAGCCTTATATTCGAAGGTATTTTTATTAGATTTCGTGGAAAACCTTCAGCCGGAATCGGATCTGTGATGGACGGTAAAGTTAAACACGTCAGGCTCCTACTATAATCATCGTTTGTCGATTTCATGACGATTGTTACTACTCCCCTCGACACGGTGTTCATTGCATTTACTGCGCCGACAGATATCGTTTGCGCATGCACCGGTATGTTCAGGCGCCTCACCATGCGATCCGTGATGATATTCACCGTCGCGCACGTATCCAATAGCGCGCGGCATTTTACAGGTCGGCATCTGCCGTCGCTCACATAAACCATCGCGCTCATTAATAATTGTGGTGTCATTTTGTTAGTTATCGATGCGAGGCTCGTTATTCTACTATTAGTGGGTACGCTTAGTCAGGATTTGGTAATTTCTGTTTCCATCGCGTCGACCTTACCTGAGGACTTGTACCCTTCGAGGTGTAACAGCGTATTGTGGCGTTTGTTACAGATGGTGCAGGTGGAAAATTTGCAAGGACGATCCCGATGTGAGCGCAAACAGTTATAACAAATTTTTGCGTTTTTTACCGCTTCGATGCGCTTAGGAATGGATAATTGTTTGAATTTATCGCATCGATAAAGAGGGTGTTGTTTAGTTTTACATAGTGGACAATTGCGTGATGTATTCACTATGAACGCTTTGTTAGCAACGTAGCGCTTTCTTTTAATCTCGGGCTCGCCCCTGCAATTCCCAGACTCGATTGCTCTCGATCTCTCACGTTTCGACGCGCAGACTGCCGTTTTATATAAAAACTCGTATAATTGATCCAGTGTCGGAAACTCGTCTCTGTCGAGACTCGTCTCCCACTTTTCTAACGTAATTTTTGGCAATTTACTTTCTAGGATATATATTATCATCTCGGGCCCGACGGTAACATCTAATGCGTTCAACGATGCTAGGTGTTGCTGCGCGTCGCCCGCGAGCTTAGACAGAACACTCGTGCTTTCTTTATCTAGTACAGGCAAATTCAGTATTAGCGATAAATGTCGAGTTATCAAGATGCGTTTCACCTCATATGCGCGTTCTAAGAGCTCCCAGGCTTTCGCGTAATTTATGCCGTCGAGGGTAAAGATCTTTATCTTGTTAGCAGCGTCGTCGACTAAAGCTGCTTTCAAGTAATGTAATTTCTCGATATCCGATAAGTCTGTTTGCGAGCCGATTATGCTATGAAAAGTATTCTTAAACGATAGCCAGTTTTCATATTTACCGTCGAACGTTGGCATCGGGGCCTCAGACAACTTGATTCGACGTTTTTTCGTTGACGTTACAACCGTTGCATTGTTGGTTTGCGTTCCGATACCCGCTACGCTATTACTCGCGGTTTCCGTTTCTATTGGATTAACGATGTTTTTGATCTTAACCGCGAGATCATAAAAACGATCCTGAATGTTCGCAAATTCAGTTCCATGCCCGACGTTTGGCTCTAATATCACGATCTCATTGTGATACTCTTCATACGCATGGAACAGTTCGGTTAAGCGATCTATTCGTAATTTCAACGTGCTCTTATCGAGTTTACCCTTTTCCGTAGAATTGGTTAAAGCGGTAATTTGTGACTTGAGGGAGGTTCGCTTCTGAATGAGGAGCTTGAGTCTATCGGCCATGTTTATTATTTACGTCACAATTATGAATGAACGACTTACTCTGAATGTTATGAACGTATGCTGCTTGAAGTCTCTTCGATGTGGACTCAATGGCGTGAACGCGTATCGGCAGCTGCTTCCTTTCGTAAACCAGGGGTCATGAGTTCGCACCTCACAGGAGGCACCAAACTGTTATGTATGTTTCGATGCTAGCCACTTAAGGATCACATGTATTTTCGCATGAAGAATCAAATCACAACAAGTTTCTCACTTACGAGTTTATTTGCATAAAGAGTTTATTTGTCTCACAGATGTTATTGCAACGTACAGCGTGTTTGCGGTTTATACAGTCACTTTACCGCCAATCCAATCACTGAATTGAATCGCACGCGTTATTTAATGTTTCGGTTGCACTGCATAATTTTACTACGCCGATAGAGATTATCCGCGACACATGTCTGTACGCGGGGGCGAACACCCTGAGCCGATTGTATACGACGAGCCGATCTTGTGCGG